ATTTCTTGATTTTGGCTCAGGTCGTGATCTCAGGGTCATGAGATTGAGTCCCACATCGGGCTCCCTGCTCAGCAGGGAGTCTGCTTCTCCCTCTGCCCCTCCCCCCACCACGGTGCACACTCTCTCTCTCTCTCTCTCTCGCTCTCTCTCTAATAAATAAATACATCTTCCAAAACAAACTCAAGTCACATTTCACCTCCTCTTAACAACTACCACACAGCAGAGTCACCTCCTTCCTCTTCCACGCTATTTGTAACTTGTGCCTATTGTCACAGTTCCACTACTCATCACGCTGTAGTAATAATTTATTTACGGGACCAGGTTCCTGACTGGTCTGTAAGCTTCCAGAAAACAGAGACTCAGGCCTCTCTGCATCCCTAGGACCGGCACGAGAAAAGAAGGTATTGAATGAATGTCTTCTGTGCCCTTTACTGCCTGATTTCAAGCACCATCCTGCTTCACTAAGGAAGGAACTGGAGGCATTTCCTCCCAGGCAACAAGAAAGAAGAAACCTCAAAGACCACTCCCTGGTTTGAAGTCTCCAAGACAGAAGCTGATCGAAGTCGGGAGAAAGATCCAGTTTTGCAAAGAAGAGGAACATTCTGAATATGCTAAATTTTAGTTGATAACAGAAAACCACCCAGCATTAATTCATTCATTCCATGTTCACTGAGTGTCTATTAGAGCATCTGCGCTCAGAGAGTTCACTCTCTGGTAGAAAAGCCTAATCAACAAGACGAAAAGAAAGCTGAAGTGTCAACACAGGTCAGCGTTAAAGGTAGTCCCTCTGGGAGTGAAACCAAGAGACACGACAATTACAATATAAATGAGGAAGTATATACCTGTTCATAGACTTGGACCATAGATCCCGCTAAGAGGTAGATTTTTGATGAAGAGCCCCAAATAGAGTGATTCTTCAGATTTTTATGGAGAACGGGTTCCAAATATGCTCCATAAATTGTCTGTAATTGCTCTCTTTCTGGGTAACTGAAAGAGGGCACATAAGAAAATAGGTGAAAATACAATGTTCTAGATTATTACGTTAATGTTCATTTGTAGCAGTTTTCCAGCTGCGTTGCTCTGAGGTTCGGATACCCCCCCCAGTTTATCCAGGGACTAAAGCCAGGCTCTAGGTCCCTATTCTGACCCCTACTTATCTGCTCTCAAATACTGAGGGCCCTAATAGAAGTTTCTGGTGAAATTACTTAAAAACATAATTGTATGGAAATCACTGATTTTTAGAAAGGACCGAAAGGTAAATTTTGCTTAAGAAAAATTATTTTAAGTGTAGCTGACCCATTTGGCAGTAATCAACTCAGAACTGTAAAAGGAGAATATAACAAATGAAATCAACCTGTTTCTCTCAAACCAAAATCTATTTCAATACAGCTTAATTGGTAGCTACAACATTTCTGAAAGTACAATTTAATAGATGGGTGCAATTAGCATGAAAGCATCAAAACAATATTTTTTAAGGCAAAACGGAACAGAGGACAAGCTCCACATCCATAAAATTTACAAGTTCTTGCAACAATTATGGACCATGGAGATGGGTGCATGCATCAGGATTAATGCTGTCACCCACAAACCTGACCTGACTCCACCTTGTGCCTGTTTACATTATGTTTATTTATCTTCATAAAATTTGATAGTATTTTTGTTTTATGAAACCCTTATTAAAATCTAATACCCATCATTCAGATTCCTGATACTAACATTTTAGAACAGAGAGGATACAAAACAGTTAGGTTTTATTTCTAATATTTAAGAAGCACTGATTAATGCCTTTATCACCCTAAATTACTGCCTAAAGTTTAGGAAGGACAGGGAAAAAAATAACAGAACTCAAGTTTGACTGTTTTTATATTCTTCATCTTAAAAAATTATCATTAATGGATACCTTTAATAAAATTCAAATACAGAAGACGTCTCCCCAAATTAAAAAAAAAAAAATTTTAAGAACACTATGATACATACTCCACAGCACAAAGACGAACAATGGAAGTAAATCTGGTGGTCAGCTTATGTCTTCCCAGTCTTCCTCCAGCTGACATAGAAGCCACAATCTGAATATTTTCTAAACCAACCCATTCCAAATTTTCATCATAAAATCCTTGATATGTCAGTACCTTTTTGAACATAAATGTATTTTAAATGTTTTAGGCTTAGGATTTTCTAATAGTGATATAAAATATTTTTGCATAAAATTCAATTGTTTCCAAATGCAATCATCCTCCTCTACCTAACTCAAAAATTTAAGATTGAAATATACTTTAAATTCTTATAACATTGAAAAATAATACTCTTTAAGACTCTGCATTCAATTAATGTTAGCTGAATTATCCTCATTTTTAAAGTGCTTTTCTCTCTAATAAACATTAAAATCCAGATGACATATAAATCTACCAGCAATTAGGGGAAAAAAAGTGAAAGAAATCAGGAAAAATATAAGGAAACTATTTTGGTTTTCTTTATAAATATTTTGTCATATTCTACAGTTCCATAGTAAAGCTAAGTTTGAACCCATATAAACATAATAAACTCTAATTTAGAATGCAGGGTTTCTAATGTGAAGCAAACCACATAAATAACGACTTCCACACTGACAGAATGCATGGTGTCCAACCTTCGCCTTTACTCGGGCTAAGAGGCAGAGTACTGAGCTAAGGAAGCCCGTAAAGGGCCATGACCAAGGACATCTACCTGCTCTCTGAAAAATGCATCCCTAGAAAAATGAAGCAGAAATTTCCCCAAATCCCACATCATCCCCAGCTTCTGCTTTCCCTGTTTTAGAAATAAAGGACAGGAAATAAGTATAGGGTGAAGGTTGTTTTTACTCTTCCTGTCATACATTATCTTGCTGTAATGCTAACTTCTATAGGGAAGAACATCAAAGAAGGGAGGCTTGTGGGGGCACCTGGCTGGCTCAGTCAGTAGAGCCTGCGACTCTGGATCTTGGGGTCGTGAGTTCGGGCCCCATGCTGGGTGCAGAAATTACTTAAAAATAAAATCTCTAAAAAAAAAAAGAAAGAAAAAAAAGAAAAGGCAGGAAGAAAGTAGTCCTGGAACCAGATTACTACAAGCTTTGGGAGTTCAATGTCCACAACACATGCTGGATAAAACTGACCCCGAGGAGGAAAGCAGATTTTCTAACCCTTTCCCATTACATCCTAACACTTCAAGGAGTAAGACTCACCTGTTGCAGGAAAGCAACCAAAGTGCTAGTGCCCCATTTGTCAAGCTTGGGCAGGTTGATATCTTTCAAGTACAGAACAAGTCTCTCGCAGTCCTTCGGTCTGTACACACGACCCGTGTTAGTACTGATCACCATGCAGGTCTGGCTCAGCTTCTGCAGGAGATGCCGAGACGTGGTCTGGGCACTACAGTGAACTGCAGCGATCTGAGTGGACCGGAGCTGGGAAAAGGCATACCTTAGCAGCATCCTACGAGAGACGGAGGACATTGGACTTCGAAAATACAACCAATTAAACACTGTGTATAGTCAATATAAAATTTCTATCTTATAAATATTTCAGTTTCTAAATTATGTAATATGATGTTTAAGGGGAAAATGGTAAACACGGATATGGCTTAACAGGTAGCTTTCTAATTTTTACAATATAAAAAAATAAATTCATATTTGAAGGCACTCTTGGGACTCATTCAACAAAAAAAAAAATCAAAGTTTACAGAAATAATTTAACTTGATAAAGTACATATAAAAGATACCAACTGTTTCCCCACAGTTGAAGGAAAGATTTTAAGATATTAAGTACTCCAAGTTAAAAAAATATTTAATTTGATTTTATAGAATTCTTAAATTACTACTAAAAATGTGAAACTAATAATCATGTCTCCTTTATTTCCAGATCCTACACTCAGTAGGCACTAAAAGTAGGCTGAATTACACTGATACAAAAGTTATTTTTAAATAGCTAATTTCCAGATGCATTTTTTATCACTAAAGCAGGTAATAATTTGTGAGTATATCTAAGGTATTCAGTTTTTGTTGGGACTGTATGCATGTATCTTCTCAGACTGTTCTCTTTCCATCAGAAAACACATAAGCTGGCAGGAAAAAAAGACATGTTCTTCTCTATAATTCTCTACAGTCACATCATTTTTACAAGTAGTGACAATGGAAAGTCCTTCATGAAAATGTAAATGCTACTTTAAGCAAAAGAAAGGTAACAGAGCTGTTAAATTACTTTAAAAGAAGAAAGGAATACAAATCCACACTATGTACCTCAATCAACAATTTTCTGCTCTTACCCTTTGCCACATCCTTCTGGTCCTACAAGAATAAATGGCTGTTTAGTATCAGAACTTAACCACGGTTTGAAATAATCCAGCCCTCGCTGCATGTCAGGAATCTGAATGACGGGGAGAGTCTGGCCATTACTGAAATCATCGGCCGTCAAGTTTTCTGGCTTCTTCAGCACATAAGATGCTAATCGTCCTCTACTCGAGTCATAGTAAGTATCCATTGGTTTGTGAGGGTCTGGAGGAGATTCTCGTGCCCAATTAAAAACCTGCAGAGGAAAAAGTTGTGATAGGTTTTCACATACTCCAAACAAGAGTGTATGAAATTTTAATTCTTCAAAGTCAACGTCCCAAAGTCAATCATCTTAGTTCAAAGAAAATTCTCCTATGCTAAACCTACCAAATATCTTTTATAATTAAAGCAACATGCTATGTCAAATATTATTCTCTAAACAATAATTCAAGCAAATAAATAAAAGTCATCTAGTTTGCACAGACACCAAGGTATAAATACATTCAACTTATTTAAAGGAGTTTGAATGAACACTGAACCACTGATTTCTCAGTGTAGGAACCTAGTCCCGCCCATTTTGGTGGTTCCAGCACTGCTCTCAAGCTGCTCTTCTTCTAACACTGAAAACTTGCTACCTGCACAGATATAAATCAGAGTTCACCGGACACTAACCTTCAATACCTTGCGTCTGAACTGTGGCATGAGAAGTCTGCTCAAAAGCAGCATACAATCTGGGATAGAGTGGTAACAAGAAGCATTTGGCAACAAGGACACCAGAACAGCGGCCACGGAAAGGGGAGCAGCACAGAGAAGTAGTAAATGATGGCACCAAAGAAGAAACAGATGATACAAATGCAGAAACATGATGTTGGAGCCAAACCAGAGAAATCCATGTTCAATGCTTTCAACAAAAGCCGATAGGATGATATCCCTTAAGTATACGATAGTTTTATAAACAACTTGGCTGAAATATACCCTTACATTTATTAAAGAAAATGTTGATAATGATTAATCCATCCTAGCATTCCTAACTGCTAAAACTGTTCTGGTTAAATAAATGATTAAAAATATGTATTATTCTGGGGTGCCTGGGTGGCTCAGTCAGTTAAGCGTCTGCCTTCAGCTCAGGTCATGATCCCAGGGTCCTGGGATGGACCCCACATCGGGCTCCCTGCTGTGCAGGAAGCCGCTTCTCCCTCTCCCATTCCCCCTGCTTGTGTTCCCTCTCTCGCTGTGTCTCTGTCAAATAAATAAATAAAATCTTTAAAAAAAATGTGTAATTCTAAAACTTAAAATGAATAATTATATATATTCATGTGGCTAATTAGTTTCAAAAATGTCTAACAAAAAAAGATATGGTCCATAATACAGCCTATTATATTAAACATTTTATAAAATTTTAATATCATAAAATACCATAAACTTGCTCAAAGGAAAAAATAAGTACATATATTCAAACGCATAACTCTTCTATTGAATGCATTAATTTCAAAATTAAAAGGTTCTATACCTTACAGTTACAAATCACTCTATTTTGGCGATTAAGAGTCATGAAAATTAAAGAAAAATGTTGACTGAATATAGGTTTTAAATGTGCATCACCTCTTTGGTGAATTCCAGACGTGATTTCATGTTCAGATTTCCGCCAAGTCCCCGTATGAGATTAATAATAAACTGGTCATGATTTTGGCATCCACGTAGATGTGACAGACCGTTCATCACAGTCCCAACCAAACTTGTTTCAACCACATAGTCATTCTGTTAATTAAAATCCATGGTACAGACAAAAAACAAACATTAATTGGTAAACACAGAAACATAGATTTACACTCACATATCTTTTCAACTATGATTGTTAAATGCATCCCTCTGCTAAAGATGTAGAAAGTTTACATTTCATTCAGTTTACATGTATAAACTTTGAAAATAAAAAGTGATCATAAAAATGCAATTGTGCATTTCTAGCAGTAAGTGCTAGAGTCCTTAAGTAGATGTGTGGTTTGTTTACTTCCTAAACTTGAAGAAAATAAAAGAAAAAGTACATCACTGAGCACTGATCTAAAAAGAACAGTCCCCCATTTCCTCCTGCTGATAAAAAGGAAACTAGAGGACACTGGACAAGTATGGCTGGTAAAAGCAGACTTAACACAAAAAACCCATGTGGAGCTGGCTCTGTATGCACAATTTAAAATGAAACTTGTGGGTTGCAGTGGTGTAGATGATTTCGAACTGTGGGCCTCCGGAGCCCGTGTGCAACTGCCGGGGGGTTAAAAGGGAAAAAGGCTCTCATTCATTCAATCTCTAAGTATTTACAGAGAACCATTTATGCATCAGTCACATGTCCCTGTGGTGCTAAGTATGGGGGAAAAAAAAAGGTGACCTAAACAGAAACTTCCATTTGTGTGACTCTAGTCTCGTAGGGGAGACGGTCAACAAGTCCCAGTAAAAGCTCCAGAGAAGGGGCCCCTGGGTGGCTCAGATGGTTTAGCGTCTGCCTTGGGCTCAGGTCATGATCCCAGGGTCCTGGGATCGAGCCCCGCATCGGGCTCCTGGCTCAGCAGGGAGCCTGCTTCTCCCTCTCCCTCTGCCTCTCTCCCTGCTCATGCTCTCTCTCTCTGTATCTCAAATGAATAAAAAAAAAAAAAAAAAAAAAGCTCCAGAGAAGCAGAAGAGAGTGCTTTCAGAGAACTCAGATGGAGAGCCCGCCTCTTTCCAAACGGCAACAGTTAAGCCAGCATCTGAAGGATGCATCTGTCTAGCATGCAGAGAACACAGCACAAGCAAAGGTAAGCCAGTGGGGTAGTTGAGAAGTGCAGACAGCGAGGCAAGGGCCAGAGTACGCAGAACTGCATCGGCCGTGGTAAGGAGTGTAACGTTTATCTTCACTACTTTTAAAGTGTTTTTAAGTAAGAGAGTAAAATGATCCAATTTACGTATTTTTAAAAATCACTCTGCATAAAAAAAATATTTTTAGAGGGTTGGAGAAACGGGAGGAAGAGCAGGAAAAAGGGAGGAGATGAGCAGAAATCCAGCTGCTTGGGCCATGCTAAGAGTTCCAGGCTTTAAAGGCAAGATAAAGGAAACCCTCGCATTTTCTTCTACATTGTCTAATTTGCTAAAATGATACAAGAAAGCAAAGCTCTAGTTATAAATAAAATCAGCATTTGGTTAGAGTAACCATTATGGTATATTTCTCAAAATCTGAACACAGTGAACAAAGAATAAGAAGGAAGGAAGCGTCAACACATTAAAAACACATCAAACAATCACAGGGACCTGACCTCAAAACAGAATCAGTTTATTTTCTAACTGATTATATCCACTCTATGGCTTGATCATCTTATCCTGTCCTCATGCCTACACTTAGAAACCCCTGTATATCAATATATCCCACCTAGTGTTGTATTTCTCTTTCTAACAAAAACAGCACCCACGCAGATGACCTCAAGGGACTTGTCCTGGAGTGCCTTGCTAGCTCCGCATATTTCATGTTCCTGAAATCCCCACATATCCACTGAAAAGGAGTGAGGCCAGAGGCAGCAGGTATTTACTAAAGCACATACATGCTCATTCATGCATGTTTCAGCACCACACCTGGGTCTGTGGATACACTACAGCTTGGTCCTTGCCCTCAAGGTGCTTTGAGCTGAATGCATGTGGTTATACCAGAAAGAAGAAGACAGCTTGTCAGTCTGGAGGGAGTGCTTCATCCCCTGAGGCCTCCAGGGAACCTCTGTCATTCACACCCCACTCCTCACCAATCCCTGTCCCACCATCTCTTATATCCTTACAGTCAGGAAAGGAAAAAGGTAAGAAAACTGAAGGGAAATCTCCATTTCTCGGCAGATCCTATTCAATCCCCAAGTAGCAACCACTAAATCAAGTTCAGATTAGCAATCAGATGCTTCCAAAAAGTACTTCCACTGCTGTTTATTTCCTCTACTTCTCTATGTTCACAGTTCTCAGAAAAGCAATGACACAAAAACCGGAAATAGCTGAAAAATCGTGTAGAACCTGTAAAAGTCCTCCCCTGCCTTCTGTGTACCTGAAACTGCTATTCATGCTTCAAATTCAAAATCAAGTGTGATCACCTTTTTAAACTCTCCTGGAAGACAGCAATATTCTCTTCCCTCAGTTTTCTCCATTAGGCAAACCCTCCCAAGGAAGGAGTCTGTCCTGTCTTGTCTAGTGCTATGCTTGATGCCTATGTTAGATATGCAATAATGTCTGCACAAGCAGTGCTCAGTAACACTGTAAACGACTCGCCATCCCTCTTCTACTGTAGTATTACCTTGACGTTGTTTTTAGTATGAAATACAAGCAGGCATTTACTGACAGTGAAATGTGACAGTAACATCGTTTTGCTAGTAAACAATGGGAGATTCCACTATTCAAGATTTTTAGGTAAGCAGTTCAGGATATTGTAGGTGAGAGAACTGAAGTGTTTTAAGACACCATAAAGAAAGTTAAGCCAAGACAAAGAGCAGGAGAGCAGGGAAGACACCTACTTCTCACTCTGCCCCCAGATTCTGGCTGAGATCCACTAAAAGGCAGCTATCTCTAAGCAACACTCTTAATCACTGTACTTCTGGCCTAAATGATTAATTATGAAATATTATGGCTAACTTACCTGCTTCAGAATCCACTGTAAAGCCTTTTCAAAGTAATCTCCAATCCAGTTTTCAAGATTATTCCTATAATTAGGAGGCTGATTCTTCAACCAAGATTTTATCAGAGAATTAACATCTGTCTCTTCATCACTGAAACAGATTAATAAGCATGTAAGAAATTACTTAGGGAGACACTGTCAGGGGCGCCTAGATGGCTCAGTCGGTGAAGCATCTGCCTTCGGCTCAGGTCATGATCCCAGGGTGCTGGGCTCAAGCCCTGTGTCCCAGCCCCACGTCCTTTGGGCTCCCTGCTCAGCGAGGAGCCTGCTTCTCCCTCTGCCCCTCCCCCTCTGCTCCTGCTCAGTCTCCGCCTTTCTCTCTCTCAAATAAATGAATAAAATCTTAAAAAAAAAAAAAAAAGGAAGACACTGTCAATTTTCTCTCAAAATGAATTTCTGCTCCGATAAACATTATTCTACACAGGTATTGTATCTGCTAGTATAAGTGTTAACTTTAGTTATTTCTCTATGTATACGTATATATTAGTTACGTGTATATATATACATGCACACATACGCATACGTATATATGTATATATGTATATGCCATTTTCTGTAAAATAAAGCAAATAAATTTTATCTATATTATAAACACAAAGAGGAATTATATACAGATTAGCCAAAGAGTTGTCTAAATCCTTAGGAATAGAGAAATAGACAATCCCAAATCCCATCTCAGACTTACTGAAACAAAATCTTCACTTTAACAAAATCTCTGGGTGATTCAAAAACACAGCAGAGTTCAAAGACAGCTGCATCTTAATACAGATCTTTAAAAATATTTTTTTCTTCTTCTCTCTCTCAAAAAAAGCCAACTACCTAAATTCTCATGCCACTATTAAAACTCAAAGATCTAAAAAAAAAAACCTCAAAGATCTTTGTCAAGTAAAATACAATTCCTTTAGCAAAACACCTAATTACATGAGCAACATTCAGTGACTGAAATTAAATATAATACTGACATTCAAAATTATATCTTAAATAATTATAAAAAATTATGGTAAGAACAATTCATAAACAATTTTGGAATAGACAAGGGTTCATGATTTTGCCACTTCTTTCCTACTCTCTACCACTGTTTTGTAGCAACACTGTAACTACTGAGCCCTTGAATTTCTCCTCTCACATTTCTATCCAGGTAAAAAGGAAAAGAAAAATGGGATGATCAAAAGTAAATACGTGGGGCGCCTGGGTGGCTCAGTCGTTAAGCGTCTGCCTTCAACTCAGGTCGTGATCCTGGGGTCCTGGGATTGAGCCCCGCATCTGGCTCCCTGCTCTGCGGGAAGCCTGCTTCTCCCTCTGCCGTTTCCCCTGCTTGTGCTAGTGCTCACTCTCTCTGTCAAATAAATAAATAAAATCTTAAAAAAAAAAAACTTAAAAAAAAAAAAGTAAATACGTAAGTTACATTAGATCAGCTCAAGTCTGAAAACCAAAGACTCTCGGAGCCCCTGCAGAATAAAGACTTTGCTGTCAATGGTGTTTCCCCAGTGCCTATGGTAACTACACATCTTGATGGTTCGTCCAGGACAATCCTGGTTTACTGTCCCAGCATAATTAACAGCATTCTCTTTCACTATCAGAAGGTCCTCATTTGGCCTGTAACATAGCAAGTGTTCAACAAATGAAGAAATGAATGGAACCTAAAACCAAGGTACAAGCTGATCAAAAGCAGCGAAAATGTTACCATGTATTTGTATTTTACATGCAATCATATACATTCATCATGCCTCTCACAAACAATATCGGGTTCACCAACAATTTTTAAATCCCGTGCAGCAATCCGTGGTCTTTCTTTCTGCTAAATACCTATTGCACTCTACTTACCATTTACGTCACTTATATTCTACCTTGTGATATAATTGTTCCATTTATTTTATCTCCTCTACTTGAAGGGATGCTCCACAAAGACAAGCCCTCTGTGTTAGTTTTACCCCTTTCTTGCTCTGTCTCTCCTAAAATGCCTGACTTAAAGTCACATACATAATAGGCATTCAATAAAGATTTCAACATTTAGTTATAAACTTCCCTTTTATGCCACTTTTCTCACCAGATTATAAGAGTATGTTGAACAAGTAGACAAACTGTGAGACAGGGCTACAAAAGTTATAAACACAATGGTGTATCTTTTAATTAATAATACCTAAAAAATTTAACTGGAGTTCATGACTATTTAATATAAATGTTCCCTAAAATACTATCAAAGAAGCAAGCAATTAGTTTTGGAAACAATCTGAACCGACTTGATAACACTATCGTGTCACATAGCACCAAAAATGGCTTCAAGTGGTGCTGAACGAGTAGGGCATTTAGCATTTGTATAGACCCCTGAGTGTCAAGTTCTAAAACAGCAATTCAAAAAGCGCAAGAAAGCTTTCTAATTACTCATTTTGGAAAATGAAATTGGCTGTAATGTCTATGTTCTGGCATGAGACTATCATACATGATATCTAAAATTAGTTTATTCTTCATTTTTACCCCTGAAGCAAATACACTGAGGAAGAAAGTAAAAATTAAGTCAGGAGGTTTCCAATTTGTACAGTGAAAGGTCACTTCCCTAGGATGGCCTAGGTTGGCCCTAAAATTCTATGAATCTAAAATTTTATGATTAAAATATTGCTACTTAGTTCTGGATTATCAGCCTCTAGTTCATAACCAGCTTCTTCACTTCTCTGCACTGGTAACATTTAAATAGAAGTAAGAGAAAAAAAGAAACAATGAAATACTTGTTGTCTCACTGAAGCAAACAAACATAATCCTTAGTGACTGTAATACACTAAACACTGAAACAATTTAACTGCAATAAAACCGTTACTCTCTGAATGAAGTAAAACCTAACACAGGAAGTTAATAAAAAATGAGGAAACACGTATTTACACATCATTCATACAACACTTACTCCACTTAGCTATGAAACCAAACCAATAACTGAAGAATATTCTCACATCACGTAGGCAAGTGCTCTGATGGTTTACCTAAGAAAGATCATTCCCATTCTAGATATTGTGGCTGGCGAGGCACAACTTAAATCATGAGTTTCAAATATAAAGTTAACATTTGGGCCAAACTGAATCCTTTCTCCGCTGGGCATGGTGAGGAGTCGATTGTCATCCAGAACTGAATTCAGGGACTCTATCCATTCGGGGTCAATATCACCATCACATATTATCCATGAGCTGACATCTGTTTTTAAAACAAGGAAGTGGAAGTAAAACGAAACTATACGCAGTGATAACAACTAAAAATGAGGAATCAAATAACCATCTCTTAATCTTCAGAAGTAATTTCCACCCAGTGTTATTTTATATTATGAAGAGCTAAAGCAGAACAAGGTGAGATTTTCCCCGTGACTCTGCATTGCAGCCGAGCTCAAGGACTCATGTGATAACACCCTACCTGTCCCTCAGCCACGTGCCCTGTGATAATGCTCTACCTGTCCCCAAACATACAGAACTAAAGGAAAAGATGGTCTGCAAGACTGGGCTATTTCCAGTCCCATGACCTTGTGAGATATTCTCCACACCTTTGTCTCCTACCAGGTCATAAGAATGTAGTATCTCTTGTAGAAAAGATAGGAAACCCATTTTTAGCATCCTATTTGAGAAATACAAAATTCACCCATCAAATTTCTTTGATATATAAAAAGTTGACTTCAAAGGGGAGAAGTAGTGCTGTGTACACAAGTCTTTTTGGAGACAAGTCTTTTTTTTTTTTAAATCCATCCTTCCTAAAATGAGAATGGTTTCAAGTGTACTTGGAGACAATTCAAACAGGATAATATCACCCATAAAAGTGTGACAAGTCAATACAGGCAATATTTGGTTTTTACTGAGTGTGATATTATTAACCACAGTGAAAATGAAAAACTACATGGAAAATCTCTTCCAATGTCTCAGTTCTAAACCCTTCCCTCACTGGCTTAGAAAAACAACTTTTAATTATGACCTAATAAAAAGTAAGAAGTCTTCTCAGATTCTGGCCAAAAATCCCTTTAAACACCAAACCAAAAAGCTGAGAGCAAGACGACTACTGTTTTACGACTTAAATTTTCAAAATGATTCAAAACACTGTATTCCAACTCATGAGTTAAGAGTGTTTACACACACACACACCAATTTTAAACCCAAACAAAATTTGTCATCTTATTTGTGACGCAAAAATAGATTTTCTATTTTTTCAGTAAATTAATCTAGTTGTGAATCGCAACTCACCCAGATTACTCAGAGTTTCTATTATAACAGAAGTTCCTATTCAGTCTAGATCAACATGACAGCACATCTTGGGCCCCTCTGAAGTAAATGGTCAACGTACACCATTTATAAGGCAGTTTATGGTTACGTGCAAGACTTTAATAAGGACAGCGTTAAAGACAAGTTCTGTCATCTTCTAAAAAGTACTAAGGAAAGCAAAGAATCACAAACCACACACCAACCTTGAGGTTCTCGGACCACTTGGCGAGCGCTGTTTGTCAAAACGCCATCAGACCATTCCCTGGTATCCATGTCAATATGGCCTAACAGCTGACGTCGAGGCATAGCTTTGGGATTCATGGTATACTGTTTGACCACTTTGCCAATTCTGCCCAGCGCTGCCCTTAACATCCTCCACAGGGTTGATTTCCCAGCACCACTTGGGCCAACAATGACAACTCCCATTCTTTGGCGTAACTGTTCATACAATTCTAAAGCCTTCTTGATCTAGTAGAAAAGAAACATGTTTGTATATGATTTATAGTACACAACCATAGTTCTGTTCTCATTCTTAACAGTTGTTCTATTCCAAACATATAAAATTAAAGCCTTTGATTTCTTCAGTGGAAGATAAACAGCCTTAAACAAAATGACACCTAAATAAATCTGAGCATGTTTACACCATGATCTTTAAATCCAGTATTTCTTTAAAAGAAACAAGTATACTTTCCAAATCATTTGACAATATGTTCATTATTTTACTCACTCATTCAAATATAATATATGTATTATTTTATTCATTAGTTGATTCATGCATTTATATCCTGTATCTCTCAAAAAAAAGAGGGAAAAATGTTCATTTTGAACATGTACTTGTGCTACATAAAAAAAGCTACTAAAAAGAATTTCTCCTAAGAAACTGTCAAAGTGAAACTAAGTCATATGTAATCAATTATCAAAAATATATATGATGGATCTATTATGGGCCAGGCTCTGTAAAAGGCACTAGGAATAAAATGATGAACAAAAACAGACATGGATCCCACATTGCACGAACACTATATTTGGTGGGGGAAAATCAATTATTAGTCAAATATATGATTAGATTAAGCGTTAGTAAGTACGTGAGAAAGAAAAGTAATGAAACACACAGCAAGGAAACTTCATCTGGACTCAAAGATCAGGGAAGGCATCCCTGAGTAAGTGAGATTTAAATGGAAAGATAAAAGATAAAGATAGTTAATAAGGAATTAACTAGGAGAAAGGATCAATATATTATATTCTCTTTTTAAAATTTTATTTATTTATTTGAGAGAGAGAGAAAGAGAGTGCAAGCAGGGGGAGGAGCAGAGGGAGAAGGACAAGTGGGCTCCACACTGAGCAGGGAGCCTGATGTGGGGCTCGATCTCACGACCCCAAGATCACGACCTGAGCCAAAATCAAGAGTCGGATGCTTAACCGCTGAGCCACCCGGGCACTCCTATTACAAAGTATCCTTGACGGTTACCTGATCAGGTATGATTTCATAGCTGGCCTCCTCAAAGACTTGCTGTAGTGCAGAACTCAGTTCACCATATTCCACTTCTCTCAAGTCGATCCCAGGAAACACATCTTTAATCAGCGCATCAAACCGTGAGCAGTCAGCAAACGTAAACTTTGACATTGTATTAAGCCTCAGCGCTTGTACCACAATTTGGCTTTCATCAACTGGAGAAAAAGTTTCATTTTAAAATTATTCGTTACTGACTTTAGAAAGTTTTAATGACCGTAAACACAATTTTCAAATACCATGATATTCGTTACTAGTAATTAAATGATGTGCTAGAATTTAGTAACAGTCAAAGCCCTCTGATACCATGTGAACTGACAAGCTTACCTTACTATCTTTTGACCACTGAGAAATAAGGATCCCTAAGGACAGTTCTGGACTCTCTTCCATAGAATTTGAGTCCCAGGGTTCCCAGACTTTAATTAATAATAAAAATCCTTGGGGCGTCTGGGCAGCTCAGTTGGTTAAGTGTCTGACTCTTGGTTTCAGCTCAGGTCATGATGTCAGGGTCCTGGGATCCAGCCCCGTGTCGGGCTCAGGCCTCAGCAGGCAGTCTGGTTGAGATTCTCTCTCCCTCTCCCTCTGTCCCTACTCCACTCATGTGCGTTCTTTCTCTCTCAAAAAATGAATCTTAAAAAAACAAAATAGAAGTCGCCAGCACTTACAATTTTATAGAACTTTACAGCTTTTATGTGATCCTTCAACAACTGTATAAAGTAAGAAAGTATTACATTATTCTGGTTTTATATTTGAGGATATTAAATCTCTAAGGGTTTAAGTGATTTACCGGAGAAAGCAGAGCAGTCTAACAGCTGGGACTCGCATCCAAATCAACTAAGTGCAGACTCAGGCATCTTCAAATACGCCAGTACTGCCGCCCAGAAGTTTAAGTCCTGAGACTGAAAACCAACAGACTGAGCAACAGTCTTTAATCAGACTTGCTCAAAAGTGATTCATAAACCCATCCCCAAACCAAATGTAAATACTAACATCATTGCAAGATTCTTATTTTTTCAAGGATATTAATCAGCTGCTGAAAGCTAAGATACATCAATGAAGGCAAGAAACCGTCTTTAGTCTGGTATTTCTCTATAATTGCTGAATATTTCCATGTTTAAGTACGTGCAAAGAGGCATGGGCACAATAGAGCTTCTTTCAAGCATGAGTAAGCCATCTTTAATTACTATAGGTATGGTTTCAATGTTTCTTAAAAGAGAGAGACAACAGAAAAATAGTAATTTAAGTAGCTCACCAAATGACTTATCTTCCCTGGCATGTGCCAACCCAATAACAGAGCTAAAGCAGCTTCCTTTTTTTAAGATGTATACTTAAATCACTTAAAGCCTGAATAAATAATTTTACATGGTGTGTTTTTCTATGCTGACTTATTTTCAGCGTTTTAACTTAGCTTAAAAAAAAAAGATTTTATTTATTTAATGAAGAGAGAAAGAGAGGGCAAGCAAGAGGGAAAGAATCTCAAGCAGACTCTGTGCTGAGCATGGAGCCCAACACGGGGCTTGATCCCAGGACCCTGAGATCATGACCTGAGCCGAAATCAAGAGTTGGACACTTAACCAACTGAGCCACCCGAGCCCCCCCAACTTACTTTTTAAAAGCAATCTGCAGAGTTGAATATTTGGCCTTTCATAAAGGCACACATCCATGGGTGGGGGAATCATTTATCTTATATAAATGGGGGGAAAAGGTGGTAGAGTATAATAAAATATCATGAGTCTGATCTGAATAAATGATTTGATAAATACATAAGTAGGAAAGAAGAAACAAATCTTATTTACAGAAGAGTTTCAAATAATATTTGCAGATATTCCCCCCTCTAAGAGATGGAGCTTAATCCTTGCCTGCCTGCTTTGAAGGTGAGCCACATTTAGTAACTAGCTTCCGAAAAGTACAGTAGGGAAGGGGGAGAACAGTAATTTCACAGTTATTATTCCAGCGGAGACACCTGGCAAATTCTAAAATAAGCCGGGAAGGTGAACATCAGCAGTGACGTCATGCGGTCATTGTGCACACACTGATACAATGTGGTAAGATGGGCCCATCACCTCTCTGGTGTTCTTTCCAAATGTTCAGAACCTGGTCTCATCATGACAGAAACATCATGACAAAACCCAGACTGAGGAAGAGTCTACATGACACATGACCTGTACAGCACCAAGGAGACTGAGGAGACATGACAACTGGAGGCAATGAGGCACCCTAGCCTCGATCCTGGAGCAGAAAGAGGGCATTAACGACAGAACACGTGAAGTCCAAATGAAGTCTGGACATCAGTTAGCAGTAATATGCCAGCCTCAGGTTCCTAGTTTTGGCCAATGTACCATAGTAAATGAGAGGAGACAACGGGAATGCTATCTGTCTAACTTCACTGTAACTTGAAAGTTATTTTACGGGTAAAAGGTATTTTTTGTAATCTTAAGTTTTTTTTTAAAGGGTAATTTTGCTTGGTATACTATCTCTTTGAAAGAGAAAACCCCTGTACATTTCTACGGTTGTTGTTTTCAGATGAGAGAAATTCTCAGGCTCTGCCCCAGACCTACAGAATCAGGAAGCTGGGCATAAGGACCCAACACTGGTGTTTTAACAAGGCTCTAGGCGATTGTAAATGTACATCAAAGATTGAGGAGAAGCGGACTAGACTATTCCTCTATATAGCACAACTATTTAGTATTTAATGCACATTTTAAAGTTATGATAGGACACTGGGTAAGAACTAGGGAAAAGTGGAATGAAGTATGGATTTCAGTTAAAAAATAACATCAATATTGGTCCACTATTGTGATAAAATATAGCATGCTAATGCAAGATGTTAACAACAGGAGAAACTGGGTCCAGGCATTTAAAAACCATCTTTATTACTTTTCTATAAATCTAAAAGTGTTCTAAATTAAAGCTGTTGCATTTTTTAAATAAGATTGTATCTGAATAACGAGTCCTACCATTCTGTTTAATGCCGCTTTTCTTCAGCTGCCTAAGAAGGCCTCCACTTCCTCTAAGAACAGTCTTCAAGGCTCTCAGACCCCAGTCGTAATGTTGCTGAGGCGTCAAAAGTTCCCTTAGACACAGAAATCACAAAGCATCAGATAGCTATAAGAAATTATTCTATCGTTATATTTAAAGAAATACAGACTATAACTATGGACATACAGAAACGAGTACCGAAGCGGGAGGGGAAGAATGAAGCGGGGGAAATCGGAGGGGTGGATGAACCATGAGAGACGATGGACTCTGAAAAACAGGCTGGGGGTTCTAGAGGGGAGGGGGGTGGGAGGATGGGTTGGCCTGGTGGTGGGTATTGAGGAGGGCACATTCTGCATGGAGCACTGGGTGTTATGCACAAACAATGAATCATGGAACACTTCATCTAGAACTAATGATGTAATGTATGGGGATTAACATAAGAATAAAAAAAAAAAAAAAAAAAAAAGAAACGAGTACCGATATTCCATCAATTTACGTAAAGGACCCAGTCACAGGACTGATCGCTCCAGTGAAACACTGAAGACAGACGATTCCCAAGGATCAGGATAAAGCTGTCATGACCTGGCTATTTACCTTCCTGAAGACACTAAAGGACAAGCACCTGTGACTATTATCCCTCAACTGTTCGATCCACCCATCTGGCTCTCAGTTTCTGGCACTCCAGTTCTCACCAGCTCTTAAGTAACATGAACCAGAATTCTAGGTCGCCCAAAGAAGCTAAAAGTCCATCGCTATTACTAGAAATAAGACAGAAGACAGAAGAAAAACTGTGGAAGATTCCCTCCAAAGAAGAGTAGGCTTTGAAGGGTCTGCTGATAAATTCATTCGATCAACATCATTTAGCTGGAGTACCCCAATAAAAATATTTTGCACAAAAGAAGTGAGATCAAATTCATAGCATTTAAGGAAAATAAATAGTTTTGAGTCAGATGTTAAACTAGAATCTTCCCTATCGATACCTTAAGTACAATATAATCACCAATATGAAAATCACTGAATAGGTACATTGGACAAATGTGAAAAATGATCACTAATCCATAATCAATCACTGGAACCAAAAAATATAAAAATATTTAAGAGAGGAAAACTCACCTGGAGAGATTGAAGATAGCTACCAATTTTCTGCCCAAGACTTTGGCATCCTTGAAGCCTTCTGAATACAGAATAACTTCTGCAATAAGCTCATTGTCTGGACAAGACATGGCTACTGGCCTGAAAAGCTGTTTAAGATTGTCAGGTAGCTTCTGTCGTCCTCCATAACCCTTTCCAGCAGGATTCATTGTGATAAAAATTCCAGAATTAGAATTTATTTCTACCTGAAATGTTAATTTAAAATATGGGCATTAAATATCTGTAACTATAAATATAAAATAGGTTGCTGGGGCGCCTGGGTGGCTCAGTCATTAAGCGTCTGCCTTCGGCCCAGGTCATGATCCCAGGGTCCTGGGATCGAGCCCCACATCGGGCTCCCTGCTCAGCGGGAAGCCTGCTTCTCCCTCTCCCACTCCCCCTGCTTGTGTTCCCTCTCTCGCTGTGTCTCTCTGTCAAATAAATAAAATCTTAAAAAAAAAAAACTTTAAAATAGGTTGCTAACAGAAATTTTATTGTACATATTTCTACACACAAATCCTACACCTTGGCAAAAACATACGATAACCTCCTTAGGAGCAACACTATTTACAGAGGTCCTTTATAATTAGTTCTGTGGGGTGTCTATGCTTCCTGAAAGCCTCCTCGTTCCAGGCCCTTGCTGGGTACACAGCGACAACACAACTCTGACCAGAAGTCAGTAACAGTTTATGCCCTTCAGGAGCTTACAGTCTATAGGCAAAAGCACCGCATGATTCAAGCTCTGACAGGGGAGAGCAGAGTACCACGAGAGCCTCTGGCAGGAGCACCTGCAAAAGCATACTTAAAGCCAAATCAAAGTGTGCAAACAATGCACGGGAAGTAAGCAGAAATACCTAGAGGGAAAAAAATCTGGCTATAAAGGAAAAAAAGGAGAAAGAGAAGTGGTTGGGAAGATGAGTGAGAGGAAGGTTGGCTTATGTTTTAATTAGATCAAATATTATAATATTATTACACATGACATTGTGTGTTACTAAAAAGGACAAAAGGTGGTTATGTTTCAAAGCCAGTGAGGAATGGGGAGAAGAGAGAGGGCTACTTCTATCAGGGAGGTAATAACAAAGACAAGGTCCCTCGGAAGGAGATCCCAGAGCATCAGTGGAAAGACCAGTGCTGACTGGGACAAAGGACAATTCCTTCAGGTTGTTACAGGAGGAAAAAAACTCAGTGTGTAAGAAAGCACATTCTGACGGCAGAAAGGTAAAAACGTTAACAGTTTCTCTTTTCTTTATGAAGAGTTGAAGCAGCACGGAAATAACATGTTAATAATTTAGAACCGGTCTTACTTCCCTGCCCTGCCCTGAAAAACCTGTCCTGTGAAAATGTTATTATGGATTAGGATAATTTCACAGGTCTTTGAACTTTCCGTGTTTTCAAACATTATACACTGTATAGAGAAGCTCACACTTTCTACACAAATAAGTTCACACTGTCATGACGTGAATATGTATCTCCGATGGGAAAAAATGAGGAAGAGAAAAACAGCTAAATGCTTAGTGTTGTAAGATCCATGCAGAATAGGGATCAAAAAACATAAGCCTCAGACTGAGACAGACTCGGGGTCAGTTCCCAGCCCCACGACTTACTCCTAACTCACAAGCCGTGCTTTCCCCATCCATAAAGCAGAAAATATACAGCAGTCCCTCCCTGGAGGGATTCTGATGGGTGTTAGGTGAGATGGGACCAGGAGCATTATGAACAGGGCCAGCACGGAGTAAGTGCCCAGGAAACATTAGCAGATACAATTATGACTTTAGTACTCAGTACCGAACTTTTGAAGGTGAATGGAAAAGTGAGACCAAAAAAGGGTGAGAACCTCAGACAATTCACAGGTAACAAGGTTTAACAGGGGCGCCAGGAGAAATAAAGACAGAATATCTGCCTGAGTAGGAGTAATGAAAAGTCGTAAAAAATATCTGAATTTTAAAATTCCCAACATATCTATACCTCCTTGCCAAGCAGTTCGCACACAGTTCTGTGATTCTTCAAAGCGTCTTGAATTGTCTGGATCTGTGTAGACACGGCTGACAGCACAGATTCTTCCAGTCTATTGAATTCATCAAAACAGCCCCAGGCCCCACACTTTACCAAACCAACAAAAATTCGTCCCATTGACTTCACATCGATGCCCTAAAAAATAACAGCAAAAATTATATCCGTGAAAAAATAAGTTAAAATATAAATCCTACACAAAATGTTTTGAAAATGGTATTTTCAAAATGAATCTTTTTTCCTTTCTGTTCACTAGTCTCCTTGCTAAAAACATTTTTCCTTCCCTTCCCCTATATTCATTTGTTTTGTTTCTTAAATTTCACACGAGTTACCTTGAGGAAATAAAGTGAGGGTTGCTGGAGGGGAGGGGGTGGAGGGATGGGGTAAATGGGGGATGGAAGGAGGGCACATAATGTAATGAGCACTGGGTGTCGTGGGGGTTTGTTTTTTTGTTTTTAGATTTTATTTATTTGACAGAGAGAGAGAGAGAGCAGGGGGAGCAGCAGAAGGAGAGGGAGAAGTAGGCTCCCAGACAGCAGGGAGCCCGATGCGGGGCTCAATCCCAGGACCCTGAGATCATGACCTGAGCTAAAGGCAGGCGCTTCACCGACTGAGCCCCCCGGGAGCCCCAGCACTGAGTGTTATAAGCAACTGATGAATCACTAATTTAAAAAAAAAAAAAAAAACATTTTTCTACCCTCTAACATAACCCTTCATTCTGTATTTAAAATTATTTATTTGCACTAGTTCCCTTTAGAAAAGTTATGAGACTAGGGGCGCCTGGGTGGCTCAGATGGTTAAGCATCTGCCTTCGGCTCAGGTCATGATCCCAGGGTCCTGGGATCGAGCCCCACACTGGGCTCCTGGCTCAGCGGGGAGCCTGCTTCTCCCTCTCCCTCTCCCTCTGCCTCTCCCCCTGCTCATGCTCTCTCTATCTCTGTGTCTCAAATGAATAAATAAAATCTTTAAAAAAAAAAAAAAAAAAGGAAAGTTATGAGACTATACTCTCTGCAACCTCTCTCCATTTTATTGTTCAAATAAAACAAATTCTGTTTTCAAGTTACTCAAAAGTAAAGTGATTTTGAAATAGGGCATTTCCTATATAAGTACATGAATACTAATCCAAACTCATAACTAACACACTATTATCTAGTTTGTATTATGCATTCTACCTCATCACAATTAAAGACTAAAACTTGTCTTCCAAGAAGTCCACCCAAGGCCTTGACTGATTCAGTTTTTCCAGTCCCAGCTGGCCCGTAAGGGTTTCCTCCGAGACCCATCTTCATGGCTTGAGTGAGGGTGAGGTAGCACTTGTCCGTCAGCGGCGTATAAACCAGCTTGGGAGCATTGCCCTACGCAAGGGAAACAGAAAGCTTGAATATTCATGTTTTATTCAACCTTACAAACATGAAGTTGTGGGACTAGTTAAAAAGCTAAAAAGGCAACAAAAAAGTTAAAGCTGCTAACATAGAAAAATATCCAAAATATTTTTTTACTAGAAGAAACTTTTTAAAGCACAAACTAAAATTAAACTTAGTTAATCCCAAGCATGTAGTTTATTCCATCCTCAATTAATATATTGGAAGGTTTTCCAAATAGTCTCTCAAGTTCTTGATAGTGGTAAAAACACGTACTGCTAAGGCAAAGAAATCCAGAACTCTATTATACAATAATAATCACTCTATCTTGTATTTTAAAATTCATGTAAATTAATTCCCTGAATCTTATGATCCTCATAAATCAGGACCACTTTGGAGACTCAAATGTAATTATTTTGAAAACTTCCTTATGAAATTAATAATATCAACTCATCAAATAATTCTCAAAATGTCTAAGTTTTAGGGAAAACAGATTCCAATTCCAGTTGCAGTTTATACAGTTTTCCCTTAACTTAGTAGACAGATTTGGGTCTCAAAACACATTTCCTTTCTGAAAGAGTCAGCTGGCAACTCTCCTGACGTACCCTTACTAACATAATTGTCTGACATAGTCTGATGACTGACTCGTTATCATGGGACAAGGCAGAGAGGATACAGCTGGATTTTCTGAAAACAGGTTCCATGAGCTAGGTTACTGGTGTGTGTGTGTGTGTGTGTGTGTAGGCGTGGGCCAGACTCCTTCCGTCAACATTGCTGGACTCCACTATCCCTGAATTAAAGAGACAGCTCCATTTCTATATAAATGCTACTCTAAGAAAAGGCAAATTCACAGAATTCAGTACAACACCGCCATTATTTTTACTTTTCTGCAAATATTTCTCTGATATAACATCTTCTTAGTTATTATGAAACAGAAAGGACAGTCGCACACAAAAAAATTCTTAAAGGTTACGACCAAAATAAAAATAATTCTGTCACCCAAAAGCAAATTTCCTTTAAAATAGTTTCAACTGGAAAAATAAAATACTTTGCCACCAGTCATACCTGATACTCATAAGTATACTGAAGTTCAGAATCCACCATTTGCACATAACACGTGTGATCACTTTTCATATAAAATCTGACTTGTTTTTTCCAGGCCCAGTCTTCAGTTGTATGAACTTGAACTCGGTTTAACTGCTTTACCACATCAATATTATGAATAATATCAAGAATCAATGCTTTAAGTTTAAGCTCCAGAATGCCAGATTCTGTATGCAAATTAAAACATTTGGAGAAAATGTCAGCCTGTGACTTATGTATTTATTACATACATACACAGATATTTTAAATGAATTTAAATGGCAATTTTGTGATACATTTGAATGATACGGTCATATGAATCACAGAAGTCAAACAAATGTCAAATCCACCAGTAAAAAATAAGAATTTTGCATATGGAAATGAAGGCACCAAACTTCAGGGAGAGAGGGTCGGGTCCCTTACACGAGGGAGCAAGCACACTGCAGCCTATGTAGCCCTCTGAGCCCAAGTATAAAACATGCACAACGTGCCCTCGATGGCTATTCCGGAGTCTGAAAAACACAGAGTGTCAGGCAAATTGGGGAAGATCTGAACGAGAAGTGCCACCAAGCCAATGGTCCTGTTTTGTCTCTCTGGTGTCCCCAGGCCTGGACCCACTGCAGCCAGAAGCCTGAGAGGTGCAGTCGGGGCGAGCTCCGGGGGGAAGGCCGGCGGTCGAGGCAAGCTCGGGGACGGGGGAAGGCTGGCAGTCAGGGAGCTTGGGGGTGGGGGAGGCCAGCAGTCCGGGCGAACTCCGGCGGGGAAGGCTGGCGGTCAGAGGGCAGAACGGGAGCCCAAGAAAACCAAAAAGCACTGGGCGGAGCATGGAGACAGAGGGGATTGGGAAAATGGCTCTAGAAACTGGATTATGATTCCTGGGCTCACCCTCAGCTGGGCGGATCTCTTCCTTGCCATCAAACCAAAGCCTCCGAGAGCCCGCCATTAGACGGCACGCATGTGAGGGCATGTGAGTAGTGTTGCAAAGACTATTTTGTTTGAATTACTGAAGTGCAGATGACGTACAAGGTGGTAACCGTTTCAGGAGCACAGCACGGTGCCTGACGACACTACACACGAGTCAACAGCTTCTAAAGAAGAGCTGGCGTCAGAACCACAGCCCAGAGAAGGCTGGCTGGAACGTGGGGCCTGAACCCAACACGATCGACCGCTAACAGAAACAGCCCAGAGAAGGCTGGCTGGAACGTGGG